TGGTAATGTGCAACCAGTGGGAAACTACAGAAGATGCACTAGCTGCTTAGTATCTGGCGTGTGTAAAAACAAGTTTTAAACATGTCCTCCAAATAGTCTTTCTTGCAACCTGAAGAATCCGTACAACTGTCTACGGAAGAGCAGGGACTTTGGTGCAGCTGAGGTAACTACTGAGAAAGGGCCCGAGTGCAGCACACAATGCAGGAAGAGTGGGGCTGCCCCATGAGGCAGGTGTGCTCGGAGCAGCTGGTGCCAGCAGGGCAGGCAGGGGCAGGGTCCTCACCAACAAGGGGTCCCATGAGACTGAGAAAAGAAGAGCAGAGCTGCTCCAGTGACTGTGACCAGGGTCAGCCAAAAGTCCAGGTGACCAGACAGGTCTACAGTGACAAGGCAGTTTTTGCATCTTTTGTATCTTTAGCATCTTTGTGTTGATTTTTTCAAGCAAGCAGCTACTAATTTGATCCTGGGATGGAGGAGTGTCCTCAATCAGTAAATATTCTTGCTTCAGTCCCTTTAGGAGCTTAGAGTCAAGGTGGGGAATTTATGCTGATACAGGTACAGAGATCTGGCTGCTGAAGTCACCTTCACTGAAGCTACAAAAAGTCCCAATTTCTTTAAAAGGTAATACAGCCTGGTAGGAGTGGTAGTGATGGTTGTCATTGAATCCTAAGCTCAGATCTTTTCATACCTTGCTCTAATAATTCAAATATTCTTTATGTGTGCTGAAACACGTTCTGTTCTTGCCATGTAAAAGATTAGCTTTGAGACTAGGCACCAGCCACCTATTTGTTGGTTGCTGAAAGTAGCAAATAAACAAGATCATCAAGGCAACAGGCCAAGCCAAGGCCATATACTGGCACCCATGGCATCTCAAGAAAAGCATCTCCTGGGACACACAGAGTCGCCAATGACTCAGAGCCACTGCCCTCCAGTGAGACATGCACAGCAGCTCATAGATCCGTTTGAATCACTACTCAACTGGGAAAGAAAAATATAGTCTGCCACCACCTTTGAAAGACTGTCAGCCCTGGGGCAGAAGGTCTGATTCCCGACTCCTCCTTTTGCCCTTTCACAGTAGGTCTAAAATGAGCGGTTGCAACACTGGTATTTGTGAGGGAGAGGCCCATGGTGTGGAGACGGATGGTCCAAGCGAGTGGAGCTGTGACCATGGCAGCAGTGTCCAGCTGGAAAGTTATCAGGACTCAGGGGATCAATAGCACAGCGGGGCTGATCCAAGGTCACAGCAGCCTATGGACATTTAGCAAAGAGAAGTTAATGAGATGAGGTAGGGCTAAGATGGATCTGCTTGACTTATCTAAAAAAAAAAACTCAATTTTTTTTTGCGGGATGTTGGCATTCTTTTCCCAAAACAGAAACAGTGTTTTGCTGGAATATGATTTGAAAAAAGGCACTGAGGGTAGCCCTCATTTGAGAGAGTGATCATACCACAGTAGAAAATAACAAACATAAATAACATTTGTGTGACGTGAGTTCTATTGTAGGATCTTATGCTGAATACCACTGAAAGCTCCCAGACATTAGTTCTCTGAACAAAAAAGGAATGCCCTATTGTAATATTACTCTGAGCCAGCAAGAATCCATATTCATCTGAATAAATAGCTATACTAATCTAGCTTAAATGAACAGTGATTTCTCGGATAACGCAAAGAACTTACTACAAAGTTGTACCTCCCAAAGAGTGGAGAGCACGGAGAGGAAAGGGTGTAGGAAAACTTAATTCTCCATGGTAAAAGGGTAGAAACTTTGTTTAGACTTGTAAGACAGACTGTGACAGTGCATAGTGTTATCAAAGCCCATCTTTACAACAAAACAGGTAATTTTTCCATTAGCTGAGGCAACCTGATGTAGACATGTTAGTGTGCACCTGGCTTGGTTTCTCTTGTTCCTGACTCCACAAACAGCATTTTGTTTAATTTCCTTTTTATTGACAAGCTTCACTTCCAAATAAGGTTAACATTAACATGTTCTTTCTCTAACTGGTTGTGTTTGGGCTTAGAGGAGGCTGAGTGACTGGCTGTCTGTTGCTGTTACAATGGCAATCGCTCCCTTCTTTACAGCTCCGCTTTTTCTCAATAGCAATTCAGAAAGTCCATATTAAATTTGCATAGTGTTCTCCTAAAGTCCTATGAGGTGAGATGATCAAAATATACAGGCATCAGTGTGTGTGCATAGGCAGGACAAAGTCTGCAGGTAGAGATAGTATTTTTTATTGGATCAACTGGTATGGCTGGAAAAACAAAACAAGCTTTCAGGCGTGCAAGCCCTTTTTCAGGTCTGAAATAGAAGCAGCAATTTTCAAAGCTAAATACAAGCTGAGAACAAATGCTCAGAGGTTAATTAAATATGTGTCAATTAGTCCTTTGTTGAAAGAAAAGGTATTTGGTAGCTGTGGAGAAGAAAGGATGATAAAGAGGGAGGAGAGTGAGAGACAGAGAGAAAGTTAAACTAAGCTACTTATCACCTAGGGGGAAAAAAGAGGCAGGTAGTTTATAGCCTGGGGAACAAGAGTGGTTCGTGGTGAGTAGGAGGAGAGTCTAATCAGAAAAGTCACATCTAGCGAGTGCGTGCTTCTTCATATCAAGTGGCTTTATGACTTTCAGTTCTCAGCCTCATCTTCAGAAGATGTTTTTGGAGGTTGCTGTGAAAAGGAGGACTAAGATGCCAAAGGTATTTTGTGAGACGTGTTCCCCAGTTGGCAGCTGTGGCGGGGTGGCGGGGGGGAGGGCGTTCCATTGTAGGTTGCCCACAGGAGATCATTGTGGCACAAAATAATTGCTTAATTTCACTTACACAGTTACCATAAGGGCTCTGGGTGAATTTAATTGTATTTCTGGGAATGCAGGTGTGGGATCTAGAGAAATTCAGGGAGGGAGGGTTGAGCCCCATTTTAAATTGTCAAGATCTATTCCTGTGGGTGGGAAGGGGAATAAGACGAGTTATCGGCAACACTTCAAAAGGGCCATACCGTGGTTTTAGAGGAGTTTCTGTTGCGGAAGCAGGTAAGCAGCAGTGTCCATCCTGCCTCGTACGGGATCCTTTTGAGGAAAGCGCGAGTGAGGCTGGTCAGCTGGTGACCAAAGACGCCTCATCTCCGGCACTGGGAGGCACAAATATTTGATTGAGAATGGTGTATTTTAGGTTAGCAACACCACATACCATCTATTCTACCAAATAAATATTTGAAAATAGAGGCTCAGTTCAAGCAGATCAGTAAGAAACTGAATGTTTAGTCAATGCTGTGAGTACCCTTTGCTAACGGTGCATCTATTGATTCTGCTCAGCCCACACGGACGTGAGGTGCTTTTTTATTGCAAAAAGAAACTTCCACATGAAGCCAGTGCCATTTTTAAGTGGCTTTGTCTTCAAGCAGCCTGAAATTTCTGTGAAATGTAAAACTGATAGGACAAATTCAGGAAACTTTACTGTAGAATGGAATACTGGATATCTGCAATGTCTTTTTTCCACACGTACATGTGTGGAATTCAGACCAGAATATTTTGTAAAGAAACATGGAATGGTTTTATATTATCAAACTTTGTACAGTCTGTGAGCAGCAAAAGAACTAAATACTTCTAGATGACTAAAATGTCTCTCAAGTCATAATTATAAATCAGCATGCACGGCTACAAAAGATTGGTGTCTCCACAAAGTGCTTGAAATTCAGTATTTGTTATTCTACTGTGTCTTCTGAAAGTGCCTGCATACTTTATATTCCCTGAGTGCTAAAAATTGTCTCTGTATTTTATGTATTGTTGTTTGTAGAGCTCTATTTGCAAACATAGCTAACTGTTAGTCCTGGAGATGATATACAAGCTGTATAACATGCCTGAAGAAAATAAATTTGGAAGCATAGGAATGTCCCCAACTATAAATTTCAAGGACTCTTGACTTCATGCTAATTCTGTTAAGAATATACCATAGCTGTGTGGGATGCATTCTTGTAGCTGGCAGGAAGGAAAATAGCTCCAGACTCTGGTTAACGTGCACGTTTCCATGGTTGTGGTACCTCTTTGTGCAAAAAGCCTTCGTTCGTACTAGTTAGTGGGCTGTGCGATCAGTGGGGTATAATTCATATTGCTGCCGCGTGTTATCTGTTGGCAAATGGTCCCCAAGGCAAGCATGGCATGCCGGAGCACCTCCAGCTCCCAGGCAAGATGCAGAGGCGGAGGTGGACTTGGCTGCATGCGGCTGCTGGCCCAGTGCAGCAGCGTGGGTCTCACATCAGTTCATTCATTTGACAGCAGTGTGAGGAGGTGCTTTTGTCCTACCACAGCCTAAAAAACCATTTGGGAGGCACTACTACTGCACTCAGAGGAGCCCCAAGTACCAGGTAGCACGGCGTGTAACGCTAAATGAGGCCTCCCCAGCACAGGAGACACCATATCATTAACAACAACATCCTTCTTTTGGTTTAGAGTGTCTATCCTCTTGCCCTCATCTTCAAAACAGTATTTTTTTGATTCATGTGGAAGATTACAGATCAACTGGAGAAAATGTTTTCTCTAGTTCTAGGTTCACTACTCTAGTATGATACAAGTAGTATCAAAATTAAGCTTGAAATCAGGAGCTTTGAGTTTAACAACATGGAATAGTTTGATACCTTTTCAAAGTACATTTTTAATGAATTAGCATTTCCTACTGGGAAACAACTACTTAGATGCAGTCTTCATTTCTGTACCACAGAGTTACTGTTCTGACAGAAGGAGGCTTGCTAACCATGCATGTATGCAGAACGTCAAAGGTCCATGGTTTTTATATCTGGGACACAGACTAGTGTGACACTGGGCCTGCCTCTCCCGTTAAAACAGGCATTCCTCTAATAAAGCAGATTTTTGTTTGTTTTTAGGTTACAGATTTACACTGAGCTGTACTAGTAACTAGGAAATGCCAGCAATATCAATACTTACACCAGAATAAGGCTGATCTTTCTCTCTCAGTGCATAGTTATTTCAAAGAAAGAACACAGATATTCCACAGTATAAATTATTTGTATTTTTTATATAACACTACTGTTATTTACATACCATGTAGTTCATGAGAATGCATTTCAAAGCTCTGCTTTATCCGACCAAGACAGAAAGAGTGGAGACCGCCAGAATTTGAAACAATAATTGCACATGACAGGATATGAATTTGTTTCAGCTCTTGTTCTGAAAGACTGACAGAAAAAAAAAAAAAAAAAGCGACCAACAGTGCAAAAGCAAAAATTCAGCAGAATGCTGAACATGCAGCCAAATGCTGAACATGCAACACAACTTTTTCCTGAGATCAGGGTTTGGATTTCTTATTTTCATTGCACAGAATATCACTGAAGAAGTAATTCTGTTTCTACTTCTTTCAGCACTCAAAAAGCACATGCATAGGTTCATATGAAAGACTAATGTGAAAAACATTGGATACTTCAGAATGCTTTGAGTGGCTGGAAAGGAGAGTATACTAGAAAACAGCCTCTTTTGTGAAGGAAGTTTGCCTTTGTGTAAAAAATTAATAAGCTGAAAATTTTTATGGTGAAGTATACAATTTCAGGCAAGACATTTCTGCTAGAAATCATTATTTTTAGTTTGGGAAGGCACGTATAGGGTCCCAGATCTGCTCTACTGGATAGGTTACCTAGCCAGGTTGTATTTCCCACAGTCACTGTCAACTCCATCCTTGACAAAACAACAGGGTGCAGCATGAATATCACCAGCCACCATTCTCTGTGACACACATCAATTGGCTGACAAACTCAGAGCCCACAGATAAAACAGAGGCATAAAGCATTCAAGCAACAACTGAAGTTGCTGAATCCACATTTCTCAGCTGAAGATTTTTGCCTTTCAGTCAAAACAGGACTTTCTGGCATGTGGGTGATTGCTTTTTACTTAACGCTGGAAAATCATTTAAAAAAATACTTTGACAAAAGAATGTATTGAAATGAAAAAAATTTTTTCTGATCCAGAGATTGTTTTGTTAGAAATTTCAAAACAACCCTGATGAAAATTTCCCTTGATTTTATTACAAAACAGAAATTGAAAAGTGTTCTTGATTTACGAGCTTAAGAGGATCAGTTGTACATAAAGTAAATTTTAAAAATGCAGCAGGTATTGTATCAATCAGTATTATTGTTAACTAGCTTTTCTGAACTAATAAATCTCTAACAGTTACAGTCCTTGCCCTTGCTGTGGATAACCAAAGATATCTGCCCAATAAGGAGTTTTGCTGGCTTCCTTGGGACCCAAAGCACGGATTCTAGCGTCCTATGAAATTCATTGCCTCTGAATTTAAGGTTGTCATTCATGTCCATTATTTTGCTGAGATAGTATATGCTACATGGTAAAGGTTGCAATTTCATTTCATTAATGAAAAATAAACAAAAAATAACCTGCAGCTTAAAATGACAGAACTGGTGGTGACCTTTCTTTGTTGTAGGAAGCCATCCAAACGTGTAACATGCAGCTGACAGAGGACTTTTCCTGGAGAAGTACATCCTAAACATGTGTCACGTTTCTGATTTTCTTTGGGCTGATCGGACCATCAGTACTTCTTTGAGGCTGCACCTAGGGGAGAATAAAAGCAGTTAGTTACAGAACTAAAAAAATCCTAGGAAAGTAGGGCTGCAAGGGACCTCAGGAGGTTACCTGCCAACCCCTCACCTCAAAGCATTATACCAAAATTAAATCTATCATTAGCAACCCACTCAAAATCCAAATACAAAGAGGAACAGCAAAAAAAAGAAAAAAAACCACTTACATAACCTTCACACGCAACATAGTGATGGCAGTTGTGGGAATTCATTAATTGGTCATATGCTATCTGAGAAGTGCTTGTGTACTCTGCAGTCTGTATTCTTTTAAGCAAAAGACAATGTTGGATATTTCTCTCTGGTTTTCTTAACAAAACTACCTGATGAGCTGTAATAAAAACTAAACATCTGATGTTCCTTTCCGAATATATCATACTAAGAACATCAACAATAAGCATATTTCATGTATCTCAAAGACATTTTTCAATATCACAGTATTTCTTTAAAGCAGGCTTTCTTTTTAAAGTTCCCATGATTGGCATGATCCCACATGAGCCCACAGCAAAGAAGGTTTTCAAACTGACCTCAGTGAGATCAGAGCAGGCCAAATGGCTGGCAGGTTTGAAAACCTTATTCTCATTTGCATTCAGTGCAATGGATTTCCAGTCCAATTAGTTTCCATTTCCAATTACTTATGCACTTTTACAAAGTATAACTGCAGAGGAAAGAACAAAGAAAAACTTATTCTCAGATGCATCCAAGAAACTTATGCTTTGGATATTTAAATCTGGTCGTGAGACCTCACGTAGATAATTACAAAGTAGCTCTAAGGAATGAAAATTACTTCCAAAGCTATAATCCTGTGTCTTCACATAGCTTCCTAAATGAAACACTATTGTCAAACAGTTTGCTGCAGCTGGCCCAAATGCTGATTTTTGTCTTCCTCCAAGTATAGGCTGTCTGCTGGTTGCTGTGTTCCTCACGACTTCCCCACCTTGTCCGAAGCCCTTTGATATTAATGGAAATATCACCGTCCTTCCCAGTGGAAATTTTTATCAACCTCAAGCTAAGATTCAGTTGCCGGCTATTGACCAAACTTCCTGTGGTTTGTTTCTCAAGCATTGATCAACAGTCTGTATTACCTTGGTGTTCTTCCAGTACTTAACATCTTAAATAATGCATCTGGTACTCATACATCATTGAATAAGCCATAGAGGAAAAGGTTAGATAACACATGTGGACACTATTTCTCTGGAATTTAGTGAGTCCCAGCACCTCAAGGAAAACCATGGGATAAATATAACTATCCTAGGAACACTTCATAAGACAGCTGCCTTCTGTTTTAAACACAACTCTGTTTCTTTTTTTTCTTTTCCCTGTTTTGTTGCTAGAACATACTGCTGTTTTCTAAATTTACCCTTATTTACCATTTCTTTCAGCAGAGGGGAGTGGTGGTCTGGGAATTAACCAGATTGCCTGTCTCTGCTCAAGAGACCTTTTCCAAGATCTCTCTGCTGCTCTTGCAGTTCAGCAATAGCCCAGAGACCCTGCTGATGCTCAACAGAGTTATCACTCATTCATTTCCAGAGCACGAGAAGTTTCCTCTGCTCTATGTTACCCGTAAGATTAATATCCGATGAGATTTGCTTCATTAATGTGGAACAGTTGTTTTTATTTACTGATCCTTCAATTTCAGGTTTGTTAAGGCAAGCTTTGTCGCTAGGGCAGAGGTTTTGAGATGCTTGCTACTTCTGCTACCTTCAAAAAATAATAGATTTACAAATAAAATGGAAAAAATAACAGTTGGAAAAAGCTGAAGGCAAGAGTTATGTTTGTACTAAGCATGTATTCCCACATACTCTGGACTGTCCTTTGAGTGTAAACCGCACTGAACTGGTTAGCATACGGAGTAACCAGAAAGTTTCAGAAGGAGTTCAAGAGCACCTCATTGAACACTCCCTCTGAAATTTCCTGACATATGCAAATACTTGAATCCCATGGTTAGCAAAATAGTGGTGTAGGAACATTTCCAAGAATTTGTTGCACAAAAATATTGTATTGCACCCACATTTACTGAAGGAAGAGATACTCAATAGAAAGTGCCTCAAATAACGCTGTCATAAGAAGCAGCGTTTACAACTATTAGTAGCCAATACTTGGTTTGGATTTGCATTTGATTTTGAGAAAGGGGAGCTGGCAGACTCTCTCACCAGCTGGGTCTAGGTTGTACCACTCTTCCCTACCTGACAGCACTGGGGTGGCTGTAATCCAAGCAAGCTTGTTTTGCCTTAAAAATCTCATCTGCAAGGAGAAGCCATGGCAGTCCCTGCCCTGTGATGCCCTTTCTCCTCACCACCAAAGGAGGAAGCCCTTGCTGAGCCGCCCTTGCTCCTGTTGCCCACCTGGGATGTGGACTGTGCCCATAACGGAGCAGGTTTACCTTGGCTCTGCATCTTTTACAGTTGCTTGCTTTAGCGCAACTGGGTTACTCCTGGGTTACTCCTGTTCTATTCTCACTGTGCTCTGATACCAGTTAATGAATAATTTCATGAATTTCAGTCAATTCATGCTGTGTATTGGCCCATTTTATGTGGACCTTTCTCTGAAGTAGCGTAGCCTCATTGAGGTTGCAGTTAACTTGATATAACTTCACTGAAATCGAGGCTGCTGGCTGCAGGCTTACTGACCTGGAATTCATTTTCTGATGCTACCGAAAATCCTAAATTCAAGGCAGTTTCAAATGCAAAATGCAGAAGAGTGGGACCACAACAGCCATTTCATATTTAAACCCTGATATGCTAGTGCTGTCAGAGCCTCTGCTGGGTTTTGATTTCAAAGTTGCTTCTTCATCACATTAATTCAGTGCCCTACTAGTCCTGTCAGTCCTAGGCTGAAAAAATGGTTTCATTATTCATTACATCTTACATGTTGAAGGCAAAGAAGACAGCTCTAATGGTTCATGCAGAGCCCAGCGCTACAGGAGTATGTTTCTAATATGATCCTCTCAGTCGGGAAGAAATACCATCAGCCTCTCTTTACATAGTTTTAAGTCTCTTGGTACTCTCAGCTTGGCATTAGCTAACCATAGATATTTAACAGTTACATGTTTCAAAAGCTTTCTGTTGACTTATCACCTGCCCTGGATGATGTTTTAAATGGATTAGTATAAAGGGACTATTATGCTGGCAAAAGCTTTGCATGGTTTGTTGGATTTGGTTGGGGAAAGATGCCCAATCTTTCCACCTCTTCCATCTCTTCAGCCCCACAAAAAGAGAACTAGCAATACATGGATGGATCAGAAGGTAAAATAACATGTTTATCAGCCAATTTCAGGGTTGAATCCTTCAGTGGTATTTTGGATACTGATCTCCAGTCAATGAAAGAGAGACTTCTGCTATTGCAAGGAAGCTGTAGTCACTTTTGCATCTCATATGACATCAGTGATATGAACGATGAACACACATCTGGCATTATGAAACAGGGTTCTGATCTTTAAATTGATTTGACAGATGGCAGCTCCTCAGACACTGATGCTATGGAAATGTGTGATAAGCTAAGGGCTTTGCTTGCTATTATCCAACCAAAAAGTCCAGGGCTAACTGCGTTAGAACAAACTGCTGAAATTAATGTAGGAGCACTTCCAAATATGTCTGCATGCATCAGCACGCATTTTGCTAACTGTTGTAACAAAAAATCATGGAGGCACAGCTGTATTCTGCTTTACAAGGTTATTTTTCTCCCTTCTCTCACTTTTTGTTTTTCTCTCCAAATTCATTTCATTGACAGGAAAACACCTACCCAAAAGCTCTGGGTACCCTCAAATTAATTCAGTTGCATCATTGCTTCACATAGCAAATCAGTCCTGCCTATAAACTTTTCAGCATATTTTCTTGTCTGTCAATAGACACACAAATTTGCAATTCCTTCTCTTTATACACGCACACATGCACACACAGAGAGAGGTTAATCCCACCCACACAACTTAATTCCTCCCCATTTTCCACAGAGAGCTGGAAAAATTATACTTCAGTCTATAAGTTGCCCTTGCCTTTTCTACATCTGTATCATCCATATTTATTACCCTCTTAATCAAGATTTGCTGACCAGTGACTATCATAACATGACATACTCTATCGTACCTTTCATCAGTAAATGTAAAATTATTTGCTATCATTGCTTTATATTTCTATTTTATTGGCCTTTTAATTCGATTTTGATAGCTTAATTTTTCTTTTGAAACAATCCACAGAGTCAGTGTAGTTATATACAGTGCAATAAATGTAGCTACAATTCATCATTCATTTTCTGTCCAGTATAAAACCACAACCACAACTAAATAATATTTCTAGTTTATAGAGTGTCATTTAGAGTAGTTAAGAAGAAAAATAGATCTGTCCCCATTAACGGAGCCGTGACTCACTTTGGATTGCAGAGGAAGAGTGTGGCTGTGGTGGCAAATCCAAGCCTCATGTAGCTCTGCTAAAGTCAGCTGAATTACACCAGGGATGGCTATGGCCCACTATAAATGATCACTCCCATTTAAGAAATGATATAGTCTGATTTATCATAGAGACATTTATGGCATATTAAATAGACTAATTACCGGGCTTGTGTAGGAGACTGTCCAGTCCTGCAAGATGCTGCGACTTAGACCTCCTTTTGTACCAGTAAGACTTAAAAAAATGCACTTCCTCACAGATGGCCCTCAGGACCTGCCAGAAATGGCCCTATGGCCTTTGCTTGGGCTAAGCTGTCTGTGGGACTGACCCCAGATCTGCTAGAGTCAGGGGAAGGATCCCATTCACTGCACTTGGGTTTTGGAAGGAGCTCTGCGTAACAGGTCAGGGCACGTGAAGCAGCCCCTGGATGGGACCTTAGGCCCTAACATCCATTTGGCCTGAAGCTCAGCCCTGGGACTAGGAGCAAGGATCGCTTCCTGCCATTGCTGATGGTAACAAAATATGCAGTTAAGCAGAAGCCTGTAACTCTGCTCTCCGTTTGACCTTTTCTTGGCTAATACAATCGGAGTGAAGACCTTCCAGCACCCCCTGACTGATGCTCCTGGCCTCCTCTTCCACTAGCTGATGATTTTTTCCTCAGCTCAATAATTTAGTTCAATATACATCATTTTTTAAATGTCTTACACATCTTTCTCCCCCCCTTCTTCTTCACTGAGGTATTAATTTTCCCTAAGGTGATTTGCCAAATCTTTTGATCTTTTGTTCATGGTACGAACTGATCAGTGCAATTGCTAGGCAACATTTATCTTCTGTGAACATTTTGTATTAGTTTCTGATTCAATGAGGTTCGATGGTGAACAGCTGACCTAAGTGGTTTTCCATTGTCATCTTTTACAATGAGACCTAACAAGTATCTCAGGGCTTTGTGTCAGGTTGGGTCCATTGGCAAGGACTTCTGAGGAAAGAAAATTTCTGATACAAAGCCTTCCTTAAAATTTTAAATCATTTAACATTTCACCTTTTTACACGTGGAACAGAAGGTACCAAATTTGAAGCTGATACCCTCAGAGACCCAAGAGAGACTTCCTAATACCTGCAGCCTGTGCTTGCTAACCTTCTAGATCCTGAAACTTTCCCCTTCTAGATGCTGAAACTTTCCATCTCTTTTTCTCCAGGGATTGGAGTAATGTGCTGTACATCATAATAGCAGGTACGTTCACCTCCGTCCAGTTAAAATGCCAGGTTGAAAAATCTTCATTCTCTGTGATTGCCCTGCTTTCCATCTTCTCCCCACATGCATGAGCTTGTTCTAATTTTAAGGCCCCTCATTAAAACACTGCCTACTTTGGACCTATTTTCTGACATGTTGCTGTGGTTAATCCTTCTTGCTGATCCCATAAGGTGTCAAGGAAGCCAAGTACAGAAATCTTAAGTTCCTTGATCTTGCAGAGGCGGAGAGGCTAGGATTTAGGTCTTCAGTCTCTCTGACTCTTTCCATAAGTAAGTTAGGCTCCTCATTCCCTCCCCACCCTGCTGCTGAGGGAGGACCTTCGCTCCTTCTGCCTCCATGTAAGCACCATGAGGATGTCCACTTATTTTTCCTGTTTATCCATGGAGAGAGAGGCAATGTGCTGGAGTTCACCCCTTTACGACCTCCTTGACCACGGAAAAAATTCTCGGGGTAACTCCTCTCTCTCCTTGATTTTTCCCCCCTTTTATCATTAAAAAAATCAGAAGAATAAAGAAGAAAAATCTTTGGGAATGTTTCCAGTATCCAGGCAGGGAGAGTCAACTGAGAAACACAACTTTCTGTGCCCAGAAAATGCAGTGGCAGGAAGGTATGTAGTTTCTGAACAAGTTGCCTGATTCATTACTAATCAGCAAACAGTTAAATGGCTTGCCATCTGATTTCTCCTGCTTGACAAGAAATATATTATCATGAAAGAGCACCACAGTGTTTATTATGCAATATATTGGAAACAGTGGTGACTGAACTTTATTAAAATGCATCCAGTAACACAACGCTTTGTCAGGAAACCTCTATCATGCAGTTACCAGGGAAGGTTATGAACGTGAAAGAAAAACACTTTTTGTATGGAAAATATTTCTCTATGTTTGTATATAACCCCATAAATTTAAATCACAGACTGCAAATCCACAATCTTTTAATGTAAACCTTTCTCAAGCTATATTAGCAGTTCCCTTACCAGCTTCTCTATATACAAGACGGGGGCACCACAACATACTGACAAGCCCTGTTCAAATTGAGAAATAGTTTCTCCTCACAAGCCATCCTTAGATTGCTAAATACTCCTCCAGCATGTCGAAAAAAACTATAAACAATTTTCACCTGTAGATTATCTCTTGATGTTTTTAAAAAAACTTGCATGCTGTTACTGATGCAGCTAGAAGCCACCGTATCAGACTTGTACTAAACACTGTCCAGAGACACCTGGTTTAACAGAAATAGTTCAAAGTCTTTGCTGTGTCCCTCTGATGGATTTGACTGTTTCATAGCCACCAGACTGCAAGAAACCTCCTAGGCTGTCTAATCTAGCATTTGACATGAAAGCTGCACCTTCAGGCAGCCTGTATGTAAGCTGCACCTACATTCGTGCTTCCGCTCAAATCAGGAGCATGCTTTTGAACCCAATCTCCTAATGGTCCTCACTCGCAACACTTTGGATCTCTCTGTGGAGCTGCCTGACAGTGCCTGAAGCGATCCATTTCAGATGAAACCAAACTGCACGATGCCCTCCAGGAACACGTCCAGTGCATCTCAGTCGTTAATGAGCACCCAGTCTGAGGGAGAAGACCACAGCTAATTGAAGCTACCGCCTCCCCTTGAAATGTGTGCAGTGCGGATACCTGGTCCTCAGCACCCACTGATTTGCTCCTCTGAGCTGATCATAATGTGCCACACTCCTCGTGAATGTAGACGTAGCCAGTGCCTTATAAACATATCAAACTGTCTAAAACTGTTGCTCATGGTTAGGGAGTGACACTGAAACTGCCTGGTGATTATAGGAATGCTTGAACCCTCAGCTGTTTTGTGCAGGCTTTTCAGCTTTGCGTTAATACTACTTTGTTTAACAAGTAATTAGTGTCAAACATCATAACTACCAGCCATAGATACATCACTATCGTTGCTATTATTTTTACTGTTATTATTTGGATCATTATTTTAATCATTGATTGAATACTTTCTAAGTTTCATTGTGTGCCAAAAGAACTAGAAACACTCTGCTATGATTTATACGCAGTGTCGTCACAACACAGATCTCTCTACTGTACACGTTGAAACAGCTCTTCAAAAATAAATGAGATATCACTGTGTTGAGCCGGAGAACTCAGTGCCACATTGCTGCTGCTTTCCCAAGTGAATATCGGCAAAAAACATCACAGATATGCTAAAAATATTTTACAAATGTATGGCATAAATTAAGGTCCACATTGCGGTTGTGCTAGCAGCTGTAAGTCCAGTGCCACACTTCAGAATGGAGGTAGCTGAGAACAGAACAAGGTGAGGAATAAATGCTGGTGTCTGCTTCTGTATGCTTTAGCCATGTGGAAAAAGGACAAAACTCTAGAGTGCGTGTTAGCTTTGGGCTTTCCCTTCCATCATTTACTGCTGAGATACCAAATGTCTCTAAGATCATTGTGAAGTTCCTGACTGAAGACACTTCTCTAATATGGAAGTGCAATTTGAGAATAGTCTTGAAATGATGCAGGGAAAACGCACATATTTTCAATGTGTTTGCAAAAAACCTGCACTGGATTACTGTGGTTGCCAAGGAACCCCAAGCCCCACCTTCAGCAGTGCCTCCATCTCCTACCCACATCTGCTCCAGTCTGGTGACTGAGGAGAACAACAAAAACATTGCAGAGCTCCCCTGTGGCGAAGGCCCCTGTGCAACAGCTGCCCAGAATTATTACACCCCCAGAGCAAAGCAAGCTTCCACATTATAATGGGTTGAATAATATACACAGAGGTGAATTCTCAAGAGCTGAGCCAGAGTTATTCCGGCTGGTAAGGCTAAAAGGTTTAAGTAATGATAACAAGTGGGCTGGGGAGGGAAGAAGCGATGCTTTAATCTTAGGAAAGATGAGAACACAATTGCCTTTATTTATGACAAGTCTGTCCCAGCCAGGGCTACCCACCACCCTTGGAGAAAGACCTAACTGACATTTGGAGGAGAGAAAATGGGTATGACATGGATAGTGAAGAGCAGACACGGACTGAGGATGAAAAGTCCACGACTCATGCAACTTTAGCCTCGGTGAGGAGGAGAAGACATAGCAGGGAGCTGAGGAAAACAGGTCTGTGGCGAAAGCTTTATTAAGTCTTTTATCCAAATATTCTTCCTCCCTACCCCCCAAAAAAATCAATCTAAATGCAAGACTAACACCCAGTGGACTTATCCATATAAACAGAAGGTTCAGGAATGCTGAAAGGATCATTCCACTTATCCAATCAGATCTGCAACTGTCTTTTAAATTTCCACATGCACCAAATATCTATGTTTATAATCTTTGTACAGTACGATACACACCGTGTGAAAAATGACAACATCTTCACATTACAGTTACCTTTGATGCAGAGCTGGTATATGACTCTGGATCAGGGACAGTAAACTTGGAAGTCATTGGGGGAAGTGAGACAATTCCTGTTAAAAAAATATACAAGATTACTGTTATTCAGTGTCCACCACGGCATGAACCACAAGCCATTCAGGAATGCAACTAAACATGATTTAATACTGGAAGTGCCTTGTGAGCCCCGTTCTATCTAATGAATATGCAAGGAGCCCATCCAGGACAAGTATAATCAATTTATCCACGTTTATTTTAGTTTTTCTTTTATTTTCTTTAACTATGTTAAGCTTTACAAATACCTCATGCTCTTGAAATCCTTCCACTGCACTTATTTCGTCACAATTTATTTGTTAGAGACAAATAATGGGTGTATACCTGGATTATAGACGCTGCACAATAATTTTATGCTATAAAGTGTTTGATTAAATGCTTTGATAATAATGTGGTTATAAATGCAAGTGGTGAGCCAAGATTTGGTCGAGATTTACATTTGCTATAGAACAAGCCTTGTGCTTAAGGAGTAGAATTTATAATGCCTTAGTCATTTATCAGTAAAATCATAAATCACTAATATATTTTTACAAATGCAGTCAGCAATGAGGAGAAAAGGACTGCAAAGGACAGTTGCTCAGCCGTGTTCTCCTGTGGAAAATATAAGCTGCTTAAAAACTAGGCTTTTTCCAGCCCCTGCCCCTCTAGTTACTTGCATGTTCTAGGCTGTCACTGCTCTGCAGTCATTATGCAGTCACTATTTTATAGACAACACTGACGAACAAAATTCATAAAACTCATTGCAATAAATGTAAGCCCAGTTTCTCATGGAAATGAAGAATATCTGCTTAAGCTCAGTGTGGGTGTGCATCTCTACCTACTTCAGTAACATTTGAACTTGTTGGAAGGAAAGCAAAGAAGTGCCTACAGTGCCTGAAACATTATGAGGATGCTGATACACCGTCCTGAAATATCATTACCAAAAGGACTACTTTTTATGATAATGTTGCAAAAATGGACATTGCGACAACTTATTGCACTAGTTAACAAAAATACAGCTATTGTTGAGTTATATGGGTAGCAAAAAACTAGTAAGAAAAAATACAAAAAAAAAAAGATGATAGATGAGCCTGAGAACTTTCACAGATTCAGCTGTAATTCCAGAAGCAGCACAAGTCCTAAGAGTTAACCAAAGTAAAACAACTTCTTCAAAAGTGCACATATCATGTCACCTGTGTTTCCTGTGGACTTTTTTGGATTTTTGTAGTTCTTTCTTTTTTTTGGCAGTCCAACTGCAAAATACTGCCTAAATAGCCTTTCATATGGGAATCCAGTACCCTCACCCCTGGCCCTAGAGGGAATTTGGAAGAACAAAGGCATTAAAAAGAAAAAAAATGCTAACATTAAATTCAACTGCAAAGAGCTTTGACGTTTTCTCAGTAGTTTTGAAAACTATGTTGTAAAAGATCCAAAACTTTCTGAAAAGGTTCAGGCCAGGCACAAGTCCATCACAAGGTGTTGTGAAATCTCATAATTTAATTGCTTGACATTTTATGCACAACGCCCGTGTTGAGAAGCAGTTCAATGCTATGTGATTCACTGACTGAGACTCACTTGGGATGTGTTCTGTGTACTTTGGCTCCTCCGGAATGTATCCACGATTTTCATTACCATTTCTTTGGCTGTTTTGCAAATGGCCGCCATTTTTCTTCTTAGCTGAAACTTTTCTAGAAATAAAAGTACCTATTATTAGAACTTCATTATAGGAGAACTCTTGGGTAACAGCAGAGAAGAACAGAGAAAAAAGGATATGACTTACTCCTGAAGAAATAGAAACAAAATATTTCTGGGCTTTCCAAATATTTATCTGTTGCAAATTCTGTCCTGTATAAATATTATCTATGCAGTTCTGCTTAGAAAGTTTCCATCACCTGCTTTATCAGTAAGCAGGAGAATAAAATGAGCAATCTGCTAAGACTTGCATTCTCTGATTCAGATCATAGGTTTTGTAGGAAATGAATTTTGATCTCAAATTCTGAATTACAGGCTAGTCAGTGGCCCAGTAACACCATTCAGATCACCTACGATAACCCATCATCTTTGTGATGTGAGCTCACCCAATTTGAAAAACAAAGCATATTAGCTCACATCACCACCGTTCACTCCCAAATGATTTATCTGTACACTCTGAAGTTAATCTTTTACTTTGGAATTTACTTTTCACATGAACACAGTCACAGTGAAGTTAATAGAACTTCCTTGATTAAAGCTACACACCTCTGGATTTGCAGAAGTCACCGGCATAACTAGACAGTAAGAAAAGAGTGTATTTTTTACTCATTGTTATGCCACAAGAAATGTTACTATTCAGCTGTTCCTACCACGAACTCCTCCCCAGTATAGTCCCAGATCCACCTTTGCCTAGGTTTTTGGGGTGGCAAGCACAAACTGATGGCAAGATTGTGACAGTGCAGGAATTTGTAGGGGAAGAGTGAATTATTTTTCACTAATATTTGTGGAAACTGCTGCATTTACTTTTTACGTTTAGCAAAAAGGTGCATAAAGTTTCAGATAGGCATCATTGATGTACATGTAAATATGAAGAGCCAGCTACGATATGTGTATTTGGGGTTTTTTTAGGAGATAAGCATGTTAATACCACTAAGAAACCTGCCAAGGTTGTTGAAAGGTAAGAGTAATTGTTTAGGAACAACACCTCTGCATCTTAGATGATACTGTACAGTCTACTTTATCTGATCCTTAGATTTCAACAAACTCAGTGCAGTAGCCAAATCCAAAGCAGCTACAAAAAAGTGCAGGAGGCACAAAAATCTGGTCAGGCAAGTTAAAGGTAAATGTGGTGGGGAGTAAAACAATACGTCTTTCTTTCTCCTAGTACAAGGTGGCATCTGAAATCCGGAGAATCTTCATTCTTTTTACTTCAAATAGGTCCCCCTTCCCCCTAAAAAAGCACTACACCTATGAGACCTGGAAGTAACTGTAAATAGTTCCTGTGATTTCAGCAGCATTATTTACCCATGCTAAAACTTTGCAGAATGGTCAACACTGAGTTCCTGAACCCAAGCTAAACCCTAGAGCCCAGACTCATCCCAGTTTTCAAGCATTTGCTTAACATTAAAAGTGCAAGTAACCTTTCGAAGGGCAGTAGTAGGACAACCCATGTTTACAGTTAATGGGCAAATAAAGGCTTTACTGTACTGGGATCCAAAAAACACACATTATGTCATGAAGATACACTTTTATTTACCCCAGACTGGATTCAAAGAATAGGGAGAAGGTAATGTTAGGGCCTGTTCTGGACCTGTTGAAGCTGTCTGACAGGAAACACTGTACAGATCCTCCGAAGGTAGCGACAGGACGCAGGGTCCCCAAGTCCCCCATACCAGTCCCTGCTGCTGGGCAGAAGCTTCTCCATAGGTTCAGTTGACTCTGCCATAGCAGGACTGACCCTTGCAGTGGGCTTTTGGCAGAACCAAGTTAGAACACAAGTAGAAATGCTCCGTAGCGCTTAATTTGTACCAAAGCCAATAGGCAAGTTGCACTAGTTCTGGGCCTCCAGTTCCCAGCTGATTTAGTCCTGCCTATTTATGTACCTGCACTTAGTAAACTGAACGATTAAACATCACAAAATAAGAAATCAACTAGAAGTTTACTGATATGGCACAGTATAAATAACATCATCTCCTCAGGAGAAACTAGTGCTTCTTTAACTTCCTTATTTTCCTTTATATGAATAAAGTACCGTATAAATGGAAATCTGTCAACAGGCCTTTAAAAAAAAGTTCCCTCTGAGAGGCCATTAATGAAGCTAAGTATTCCTGAAGTGAGAGGTAAAACGTTGCATGGGATCGCAAACTTGTTAGGAGATTAAGAAGTTAAATGCCGCACACGCATAAGCCGCAAATGAATTTACAAGGCTCTTTAAAAGCTTAGAAAAAATAGCACCACGTAATGAATCGGATGTAAATACTGAACGATCCTGGGCTGGCGTGTTTTCGCGTGTCCCAGTCAGCACTAATGTACAGCTAGCTTTGTATTCTCGCGAGTCTGATATTCACTTGAAATGTTGACGCTCATCACCGCGGCAGCTTTTTGTTGTTGCCTTTTTTTTTAATTTGATTTGTTGGGGTTTTTTTGTTTGTTTGTTTGTTTTGCACTCGGACACTAATGAATTTGCAAGAAGCCGGCGGCCCGGCGGAGCTGCTCCCCCGCCCCTCTCCGGGGCGGCCGGGGGCGGGGGCGCAGGCGCGCGGCGGCCG